TAATCTCTTTGAAATACACATGCAGTGAAATATTGAATGGACATTGTTTTAAATACCTATTATTAATGATATTTAAACGCCATATGTATTGGTATTTAATGACTTTCAATAAATGTCACTTGAGTTTACATTTTTACAATTGAACCTAATTATCTTATCTTATATCGCTACAAGTTAAGTTCTACAGCAAAACATCAAAGTTTTACTTTATAACGATCAGTCAGATATTTACGGAATGATGAAATTACGAGGCCTAAAAGTAGTTTCGCGATAGTCGAGCTAATCGATGGAAACTCCCCCACACTACCGACCATTATTATTCACTTTGTTCAACAACCTCTTTTTAAATTGCACACCACCCACTCATTTTGCGTCACATCAGTGGAACTGAGTCGAGGACACTTCCAATTCATTTCGCTGCGAATGTTTCGCGGAATGCCATCCATTCAACAGTTGGCCAATACCAACTGAATTGTTTGCTTGCAAACCAAAGGATGCAGTAGGCATTTGTTTTTTTCCTTTTTCCAAAGAAGGAATAATGCGTCGGTGCAATTAAAATACGTGTATTTTTTTAATAAAGAAAAAAAATGAGGCTAAATAACAGGAAAAATGCAGCACACGGTTTATTACTATTGATTTCATTTTTCTTCTAATTACGTTTATGACGTAAATATTTTTAAATATTTTTTAATTTTTCGTCATTTCCAAGAAATGTAATGGTAGGTAGAGGTTGCAGTGTTTATTTTTAATGTAATACATAATGAATAGTCATTGAAATTAGAGAATCAAATGGGTCATTTACTGAGTGCAAAACACATTAATTTTGTTGCATCTCTGTTTAGTGAACACTGTATGAATTGTCATACCTCGATTATCGTATAAGATGCGTTCTTAGCCCATTTTTGCCCACTGTTCAAAAACTTTAACAAGACAATGGCAGGAGTTGTTCTATTTGATCAGTCTATGAACACTCATTGTATTGCAATTAATGACAAGATATTCTGGTGGGTACTTTTTACCTATATGTTGGACCTAACTATGAAAAACACATGGAAACTGTTACAATAATCATCTAGCCAAAAAATAATTCAATTGGAGATTACAAGTTAAATTGTACGGCATTATTTATTTAGATCAAATTAGATAAAGTACAGGTAATATTCACTCCATGAGAGTATACAATTTGAAAATACTGGACAAGTTTAACAAAGATTTGTTAATCACTTACGATGTCAATCTAGAATCAGGTGGATTTGTAAAAAATGGTAACATATATTGTGCGTAGAAAATAATTGCTTTAAAAAAAAACGCTATTTTTTTTTTTTTTGTGTTTAGATATTATACATAAAGGATTTTTTAAAATAAAATCAATGTTTTTTTTGTTGATCTAGCCATCTAGATAGTACCATGTTTATTACCATGGATACCAACTATACTTTAAGCAGATACTTTAAGCACCGAGTCGAACCGAAATTAACCGGAATTTTTAACTATAATCGGAACGTAAAATTGAAACTGAAACTAAATAGAATTATGGTTCAATTTTTTTTTCATTAAATTACTTCATTAATCGCATATGTTACAATGCTCCATGTAAAAATATCACAATTCTAGACATTTCATTTTAATCCTAAAACGGTATAAAAAATATGACGCTGGAAAGAGAGATACATTTTCGTCTGAATTCGTTATCTACGGAACTTTTTCAAATTTTTATGTTGTGATAAAAAAAAACTTTGAGCTGGTACTAAAATTTATACCAATTTTTAATTTAACTAATTTCAATTATTTTTTTAAGACTTTAAATTTTAATTTTAACTGGAAATGAACCGAAACCGAAGCTAGAACGATAAACATTTACGGTTACGTAAGCCGGTACAAAATTAATTGAAATTAGTATATTTTTGACACACCTTATGAATTGTAGCTAAGATGTAGCAATTACAAGATATTAAAGGACAATAATTATATTGCATTATAAAATTTATATCAGTTCTGATAGATACAATATTTTTTTCTACATTTTATTACATTTCTAAAGTACAATCTGTTTTTATTTGCAACATTGTCAATGCATATCGTATAAGCAATTATTTACAGCATTTCTAATAGTAATTGACTGAAAAACTTAAGTTTTTTTTAAAAGCTTTCTAGAAAACATTACCAACAGAACAATTTAAATGCTTTTTATTTGTGTTTCAACTGTGCCGCATATCCTGATGTTCAATTAAATAAACGAAATACTATTGTTTTTTGCCCGAAATAAAAGGTCAAAGTTTGATATATGTTTATAACATAAAATAAGCGTATAGCCGAGTTGAACCTTGGATAGTTCTCATAGTTTATACCTTTCAAGAATATATACATAACGGTCTGATGCTGAATATTCATGGGTTGGACGTAATCCAATTCTTAGATAAAGGAAGAACAAACGCGGGGAAAAGGCGAATACAAAGCTGCAAGATTAAAGCAGCAATCGATTTGCAAAACGGGACTGGCCAGTATTTGCTGCGCGGTTTTTGCGGATGCGACGACCGTAATTAGAAAAGCAGCTGTGGAAGAAGAGAGAGAACAAAAAGAAGAAGAAAAAAACGTACGTAAACCAATTTGAATACGCTTCATAATTTCGCTATATTTAGGTGTATTTGGGTTAATCGACCAGGTGGCCCAGGCGCACAACCAGAGGCATAACTGGGTGTATATATTACATTTTGTATTTCTATGATACTGGCACACTTTCATTGGATATAAAAAGAACAGCAATCGTAAATAACATAGAAAAATATTATTTTTTTATATAATACAGGACTACTTACACGATTTTCATAAATATAATAATCACAAAAAACGAATTGAAAATAGATAACAAATATAATAATTTGTAAAAATACAAATATTGAGATAGTTATACAAATGTAGGTGGAGAAACGTAGAGAAATTGACTTGTAATTATTGTTTTTACTATTTTTTCTTCTTCTAAAAATCATCTCATTACCCCAAGTTAATCGTCAGAAAACATTTAGATTATCTAAAAGTATTCTTTTAATTCTTATTATATCATAATATCAATCATTAAAAAATTAGATAGTGCATTGATTTTGTCATAACAATTTTATAACAAAAGATAACAAATAGTTATTACCAAATGGCATTCGTGGTGGAGTCAAACGCGAAGCGATTTTTGGCCGATCCAGAGCACTTGAAAAATATGATAATTTCGTATGTAAAAACGAGACAAATTTTGATATTTTATTTCTTCATTATCTATTGATTATTTTGAATTAATTCTTTTTTTTTTAATCGAGCCAATAAATTAATATTATTATCTATTTTTTTGAGACCTTTGTAATGGTTTTTATATGTATGACTGTTGTAATATCCATATTACAACTAATTTCTAAAATAGATCTAGAATTAGTAAAATATTTGATATATGTATATAACTATAACAAATCTTATAATTCTCAGTAAAACTGTTGTAATGATTATTGATTCAAAATTTAATTAAAAATCTAAAATTGATCTACATAAAATTCTATTTTTAACATAGATAATGTAGTCGTATAATTAAAAAAAAAAAATTCGAACAAAATGCACGTTTATATCCACGAAAAGTAATACTTTTTATATCCTCTTCCTAATTTCCACCTTGAATCCAAGTAATCTATTTTGATATAAACGTGCAAAAGTAGAAGGGTTTGTTTTTTGGTGCATCTTTTTTTATGTTGTGAGAACATAGCGTTGGAGGGCATGGCGTGACCCCTCAATCCTGATATCACAACAATCACTGACCGTTCACGTGCCTAAGGCTCTGAATATTTAAAGGCATTTTGTACACTAAAATGACTCACATCATCCGGATCAGAGAGTCATAAGCTTGGAGAAAAAAGAAAGAAAGGCAGAGAAGGAAAATATCCAAGAATTGATATTATTATTAAATTTGAAGAAATCGAGAAGTTGTTACAAAACCATCGGCGATTCGTCACGGTTTTATCGCCCTCATAAACACTATTGTTATTGCGTCTAAGGGCAAACTAATTTCAATATATAGGCAGTACTTTTCAACAACTTTCAATATTATCTGATCCTGATTTCTTCACTATGTAATTTAGATTCTTTTTTACTTAATATTATTCTAAGAAATAATATAATGTATATATATATTTTTTGTCTCTATCATCAGTTTATTCTAATGTTGATGGGTTTTAAAAATCATATGAAGCTACAAAGCAATAGCTTCTTCGAAAATGAGTAGCTACGTTTATTTAATGAATTATTAAGTATATATTGTAATTAAATAAGGTTAGAAGATTGGAAAGATATAATGATTTATATGTTTTTTTATTTCATACATTTATGTATGTTGTATTTATTAATATAATTCTTTGTTACAATAAATCATATTATTGTAAGTTTTAGATATCTGTTACTTTATAATTATAGCAACAATTTTATAAATATTAATAAATAATTATTTATGAAATTGTTAAAATAATCCATATCTTCAAACTAAAAATGGTGGATGCGCCTGGTTTTAAGTTTGTTGTCTAATAACTTCATAGATATAACTTATTAGATAACACACAATTATTAATTACTATCTTTTTTTTTAATTTAAACGTCTCTAAATGTTTTTATTCAATTGTATCGATGCATACTGCATTATTTTGTTAACATATAACAATCTTTCATTTGAAAATGAAACAAATATTGTTACTACTTGTCATTTTGGTGAATACATTTCATAATTACATGCACTCGAGAAGTATATCATATAAGGTAAAATATTTATATTAATACTTTATTCTAAAATTGTAACTGCAAAACTCGACGTCAATGTTTGTTATATTTTTGTCACGTAACAATGACGTGTTTTGTTTGTTTAATTTGTTTTTTATCAAATTTTAAACAATGATGTGGTTGATTATTATTATTATAAATTAATGTTTCAGTATTTGCATTAAGTTCTACATTTTAATATTTGACTCAATAAAACTCACCTAGAACCTGAAGTTATTCCATTGGTGACATTCGCTGGAAAGCGAACGTTTCCGCTCTGCACCTCAATATCACTGGGCTTCCCTTGTACAGTGATTCGAATCGGTTTCACGTCAGCAGCCACCATAGTCCTAGCTTCTTTGATCCGATCATTAGCACTTTTTTCGTAACTATTCACTTTAGCACCAAAACTGTCATCGGGCGAGATGAGTTTGTTGATGTTGTTCTTCGCGCTATTCGCCTCCGCCGCTTTATGATTAATATTGTTATTATTGTTGTTGTTCATGTTGTGGTTCGCAGCAGCAGAGCCGTGCACAGCGTCCCGATTGCCCACGGAATTGGCAGCCTTGACGATCTCCACTTGGGGCAGTGCACTTTTGTCGGAGGATCGCAGATTGTTGTTGGCCGCCGTCGCGTTCTCGTTGCCGGATAACGATATAATTGCATTTGCAGCCGGCGACAGCTTGGATAAGTTATGGTCCTTCAGAAGGGTTTGCGAATCTAGAACAGTATCGTTCATTCTTTCTATTGCGCTCGAGACGCTCTTAGCACTCAACACCCTACCTTCGTCCATATACATCGGGGTTTCTTTCGGCTTCGGTCTGTCCGTTTCGACCTCCATGATCAGAGGTGCATCCAATTCGATCTTCAGAGGTTGGGTCACCGTCGTCGTCGTGGTGGACACCATGGTCGTGGCGGATGGAAGCATGTCGGTTAGTTTTGCCGCGCTCTCAACCTTTTTCAGCACGTTTTCCCGACTGTGCGATTTTGCCACCATCGGCTTCGCACTGTTGCCATCGCTAGTCTCCATCTCCGTTGATGATTTTCCATTGCTTTCAGTCACATTACCAGCGGCTTTGCCATTGCTATTGTCCTTGTCCTCTCTCTTCAAATTTTTCACGCTGCTCGTCCGCTTCACAGCAGAACCGGCAACATTCTTAGTAGAATTACTGTTGTTGTTACTGCTGTTACTACCGCTACTATTACTATTATTATTAGTTTTGTTTGTATTATTATTGCTGCTGCCTGTTCTGTTGATGTTGTTGTTACTGTTGTACGAATTGCGTTTTGACACTGATTTATTATTATTAGTATTATTATAATTAACACTATCGGTCCGCTCTAGTTTACTGTTACTATTACCACTTTTCGTTTTAGTCTTGGCTGCATCGGTAGGTTTAGGAGGCACTTTGGCTTTAGTGGATTTGGCATTGTAACTGTTAACTTTAGCTTGAACGTTCTTGTAGTTCTTAGTCGGGATCCTGGTGGGCGTGAACGGAGGCTTCGGCGATGGACTGGCATTCCTTGAGCCGTTCCTAGAGTTTGCCCTGGTGGCCGGGCGCCTGTAGTTGGGCGACAGGTCCCTAGTCGGCGACTGAATCCTACTAGGTGGAGTGCTGCGACACTTTGGTATCCTAGAAGGGGAAGACTGACATTTGGAATCGGAACTGGGTTCTGGAGAGCTGCCGATGATCGGAGACAGCCTGCTAATTGGCTGACCCTTGTTGTAAAGGGTGGGAAACCTGCGTGGACTCGGCGGCGGTTTGAATGAAACATTTCTGGGCCCGATGTTGTTTAGACTCTTGCTTAATTGGGTTTTCAACGAACCGCCTGGTTTTCGCACTGGCGAACTGTCGCTGTCCTCCGTCAAGATGATGGAATTACTGCGCTTCTTCAGTTGCGGTATTTGCGACCTTCTCGGAGAAGAGCCATCCGCGTTGCGTATTCTTTTGTCCTCTGGTGGAGGTGAAGGAGCTGGCGAAATATGCCGCGAACCGACGGGGTTGAAGCCTCGACCTCGGAACGGCGACACGCGCCCTGATGTTGGCGAAGGACTTCTCGACCTCGGCGAGAGCAAAGGCTCCGCTATAATAGAGAAAGCTTGGTTTTTCCTCCTCCTCTGAGTTGGACTAAATCTGTAATCATAAAATCATAAAAAAAACTCGTAATTTAAATGTATATTTGCAAATAATGAAATAGCGCATTTCGTTTAATGCAACATTTCCAATAAAACTATGCGATTTGGTTTTGACAAGTACGCAATTTACTAAAATATCAAATTTGGTTAATATTTGAAAAAATAAACATAGTATTCGATACTTAATTATATAAATTAGATTATTAATATTGTAAACTAAACATTATTTATAAAATTTTAAATTTTTATATCAGTTTTGATAATATTTCTTAGTTTAAAAGAAGATTACATAACTTATATTTCAATTTTCAGTTTATGAGTAGTAAACAAATATAGATAAAAATTATAATTTAGTAAATATTATCTTAATTGTCTAAAGAAAGCAAATATGCCAAACAATTACTTAAAAACAATAACTAATATAAAAATTAACATAAAATAAATTATTCATGTTGTATCAAAACAAAAATAAATATATTGAAAAATTTATTATACAATATTTATAAAAACTTACGTCGAGAAAAACAAATTCATGACAATTACACTCAACTATTAAGCAATATTACAGTGGGAATAGTTCTTATTAAATTGTACACAAATATTAATGTAGTGCAATCTGTTTGAAGTTCACATAGCCTGAAAAATAACCCACGTTGAACAAAACATTGTCTTTTAATATTTATAAACTATAATTTCTAAAATGTGTTATATTATGACTACTATGATGATAATTATACTCGAATATTCACTTATTACATGAAATATAAAAAAAATACCCAACATTATTATGCATAAACAACACCCTTGAAATTCCACCGTGATGGTGATATCAAGGAAGCATAAACTTTTCTGGAGTATCTATTTTTCATAACTAGTAATCAACTTCTGGAGAAAAGTTGTTGCTACTTTTTGGAATAAGCTAATCATAAACAAGCATACGTTCATATGGAACCTACATATTAGAACGATAAACGTAGCCTTCAGCATCGGGATGTTTTTAAACTGTTACATACGACACGCAGTGTAAAATGTCGATTTTCGCTCACTACAGCATTATCTTTGCCGTGTCAATTGTTATAGGCCGTCCGGAGAGCTCCCAATTTGAAAGCTCCCCTGAGCTGGGGATACCACTTTTGCATGACACGATATTACTTTTTCTGAGATATAAATTCTCAGTACATATAGTAACATCCATAGTAAGTAATGTGTTCCATAAACCTTTACCTAACCTGAGTCTCGACTGGAGTGTTACGTAACTCGGGGTGTTAGTGTAAACGAAATATCTATCGAAGGACATAGACATATTTGTTTTAAACCACCTGTAGTCATAGTGGTTTCCAACAACTACAATATTTTTTAATAATTGTATCATTTATGGCTTATGAAAAGAACTTTTCATGAAAAGTTACTAAATAAAACAATCAAATAATAATATCCGACATGTTTAGAAATACTTTTTGGAAATAGAAAATATATTTTTATAGAAACATTTAATAAATATTACCTATAAGGTGGTGGAGCCTGTGGAGGATCTGGAGGACTGCCATGGTCTTCTGGCGAAAGAACAGTGAAGGCGCCAGGCGATAGATACCTCAAGTTGAGTTCCTCTTCGAAGGTCCTTCCCGGTCTGTAGCCCGATCTGCTGTCGGGCGATCTCATCTCGATCTCGCCGCGATCACTCAATCACATGTTAATTGCACTCGCTGTATCACCGCGTCTCCATGAATCCGCCACACCTGAAACAAATCACCGAAAAATCAGCATTTTCACGCCCAACCCAACCTTTAAATTGGTTCACTAATTGCATTTCCAGCATTAAAAACTTCCGAGCCGAGTGCGAGCGGATATTTTTAGTGCACAAGTCATGCTAGTATAATTCGCACGTAAACTTAACCTACATGCTTGCGTTATTATTACTCTTTTTTTTATATAATATCATTATTAAACATTCACGTTCGTTTCAAAACTGCATTCGATATAGGTCGCATTATTAAATACCGTACATTAACTAACTTTTTCTTACTGCTCCTCTGCTCGTTTTACGCAAGAACGGTGTATGGTGCTACCACTAGAAGTTGCAGTAATAAAGTGAATGATATGCTCCAGATATGGCATAGATGGTATATTCTTTTCCCATGTGCAAGCATCGCTGGCTCTGAATTCTATATTATCCTCATGCGCGGATTACCGGAACCATTTTCTAATTTATATGATTAAAAATTAGTTATAAAACTGGTAAGACAACAACAATAATGACAACCACGGGATTAAATACACGGGAAGCGGACAGCCGAGATTCATTACCTCCTTAATCCGTAACATCATTGCAGTAAAATTGCTCTTAACATCATATGATTTAAATTACTAGCAATTTGCGTGTTCGCATTTGTGAAACATGAACATTGTGTCTTATGACCTTATTTAACATAAAAAAAACTATCCATAGAAAATTTAACAATTTTGTAAATTTTACATTAAAAAAAAACAATATTATTAGTTTTAATTAGTAGTATAATAATAATATCGTTTATTGTAACAGTACAAGGAATTAAAGAATAGTGATTCTGAAGACAATGAACCAAAATAACTTGCTACAGATTTTCTTAGAAAAAGTTTAGAAATGATAACCCAAATCGTTGATCAAATTGTAGAAAATGATCAAAATTTTGACAAGAGTGGAAAAACAAGATGAGCAGTTTTTGATGCGATCGCGTTCTATCAACGTTTGCTTAATGAAAGAAAAAAGAAGCGACATATAACCTTCATCACAAAAATTAACTTAATATTTCTGTGTGCAAATGTTTGTGTTATTTTATAATGCAAATTACTATAAATACAACTTAAAATTCAAGTGCAATTTGTTTAATTTTGGACGCATGTTCCCGTTTCCCTATTTGCTAAATGTTTCGTTTAGCACTGTCTTCAGGAACGCATCTAAAGCAATAAACGAGGTCTACTGTACTTACAATATTTTTTTTAAAGGAATCGATATAATTTTATCTTCACTTATCCTCAATCCGCATTAATCGAATATACAAATTATCCAAAGATTTCAATGAAAAAGCCTAATAAATGTTATCAGGGTACCGTAGTTCATCAAGAATATATTTGAAGATACAATAACAATGTTTAATAGCATCTATCTTCATATAGTCTGGAATCTTATACTAATGGCTAATGGCTATTAACATGTTTGATAACATTAAAACAACAAAATGGCTTAATTGTTATAAACCATTAGAGATATAAGATAGATTTAAGTAAATTATTATTAATCATAATCATAATCCTAATAATGGTAAATATTCACCAGGAATGTTTTAAATGGATGAGATTGTAAATAAAATTATTACGACATAAGAAACATATAATAATTTTGTGTAAATCAGAAAAAATATGATACAGTATTTATTAATTGCAAAATCTCTACATTTAAATATTGTAAAAATCAATGTTTAGTTATTTAATAAAATTGAAATATAAACTTTACAATATAATAATCAATAATTTGATGAAAGGAATAATTAATCTGAGCCTGTTTTACAAATATGTAATTAATGTGTAAAATGCTTAATTAATTTAGTAAATCTTGATCTTGGGGGGGACATGATTTATATAATTGCTTTAGACATATTATCGTGATAACAGGTGTGATTTTGATCGAAGTTTAATGTATTAATGAAGTCCATGATAATTGAAACGGCACAATGAAATTTCTCAAAACTTTTAGTCCAGTTCGTGATCAGATATAATATTCTTTATTGGTTTCTTTCCTCGCCAATTACCGCAAACACTTCCCAACCGTCGTCGCAAAGTTCAATGTCGATTCATACCGTTCCCCCTACGTTCTGTTCGTTTACGTTCAGTAAGATGGGGGCGCTTAAATTTGGAAAATATTATAATTGGACGAATCCTGATTGAATAATTCGCGGATGAAGGTGGAAAAGTTGTTAGTCGGACATGGGAGAGTGAGAGCGTCGTAATTGCGGCCGGCAAAAATCAATGTCAAACACATGTATTTTTGAATTTGTTCTTGACTTAAATTCCGCGGCATACAATATCGGAGCGCATGCATGAGCGGTAATATATATGAATTATGTCGGAGATTCAAACGGCCGATAAATGCCTCAGCCCTAGCCAGTAGGGCACGTCAGATTTCATTTGGATAAAAAGAACGGAGGAAAATAATTGAACACTAAGAGATAGAGGCAAGGGAATGCATCTTATATATATATATGATCTTTGTTTCAGGAAAACATTTCGCACCCGCAACATTGTACTCATACATTACCTTGTTTTACCTTTCGATCGATTTTTTTCAGTAATTTATGCAAGGCATGTTGTTCCCCTTTATATTTTTACTTTTTCTGCGCTGAATGCTATGGTCCTAAGCATGTCGTCAATAATGTACATTTTTGTCCACACTGGAACGAAAAAAACTCGGCCCTGGACGAATAAGAAACGCCAGAATTTTATTTCTACGCTGGTAATAAAATAAAATGGAAAAGGTCGAAAGAAAAATGCACTTTTTTTCAAATCTGAAAGCGCTAAATTATTTGTACTTTCCATGCGATCGCAACAAGTTTAAACTTATATATTATTTTTTTAAATGATAGCGACGCTGTTTGCTGCTGCTGCATTTCCTATGCTAATCAGTATCGACGGAAATAGAATAGTACAATATATCTAACAGTACAATTTTCATAAAGTTATTTAAGATTTATCGTCGGTAAACTTGGAACAACGTGCAAGATCTTAGCAAACTGTTTGATAAGTGAATATTATTGATTGCAAATGTAAACTGCAATTAGTTCATTAATTCTAATGCTAATTTTAGAATTAAAGGAATACGATTTTGATATGCTAACATTATTGATTGCAAATGCAATCTACTACTATTACATAATTATTTCTAATGCCAATTTTAGATTATATTTTTGTTGAAAATTTATATGTATTAATACTAGGACTTCTATTATAGTTTAACCGTTTTTACCAGCCAATATCATTAGCAAAATTACCGGTAAATTTGAGAACAAATACCGGTAATTTAGATAGTTTTAATAAAAATTAAGAAAAAAAAATAAGAACCTATTATATTCTTTTGTTAATATATAAATTGCTAATATTGGGCATGGAATTATACTTTATAAAAAAAAATATTATTTAAAAATTATTCTTAAATTAATGCACATATATTAATATTACCAAGAAACTAATACATTAGGCAAACAATTTGCGTAAGACTAAAAGTTTCACTTGATTTCACGAACGCTAATTAATGGATGCAACGAATTTCACTAAATCAATTAATTAATAACGTTGACGCAACTTCCGGTTTAGATTCACCTCCATCGACCGAAGAAGACTGCGCAACTGAAACGGCGCTATATTTATAAAGTTAAGAATAAAGACCAGGAATAGAAGACTTACTGTTATCCACTTTGGTCGTCGCCAAAGCATCTCTCAGAGTGCCATGCGACAAGAAAAGAATACAGACGAACGAAGAAAAAAAAAACGAAATTTCGTTCTTAGTTTTATTGGAATGTTAATTTTAGAGCAGGAGAGCGACCAACCCTAAGTAAATAAAGCGTAACGAAGTAAGTCTAACGCGATCTCCGGTAAACACAGTTTCTTCATTTGGAAGCTGTATACAGAAGTAGGTGTAATTAATGGCATTTGAAAGCAGAAGCATATGGCAGAAATAGTTTTTAATTTAATTATAAGCGTTTTAATTATTCGAGGCAATTTCAACGATATAAAAAAATACGTATACAGAGAGAAGAAATATACACTAACTAACCATGTAATGATCATTTTATTACGCTTTTCTTGCAGCGTGAATTTCTCTTTTTCTGCTCTCGCTCTATGAATAACCTAAGAACAAAATAGAATAAAGCAAGTATTTTCATTCATCAATTTTACACCTCGAGTTTTTTTTTTCGAGCACTCGAATGCCACTGAAAAGGCAGTCACCGACGTTCGGAAACTTATAAATAGCGGATCTAATAATAGGACATGCTTTATAATATGATTTCTTTATATGTCTAAGGAATTTTAGTGTTGAGTAAATGTTATTATAGTAGATACATACTAAACTTCAGCCTTCATTTCATAAAACTCTTAGATAAAATATCTAAATTTATTTATTATACAGTGATTATTCGATATTAAATAAAGTATAATAATAATCTTTATTAGTTATAATGCAACCAAAAGGCTATCGACCTAAGTCTTTCCGCCCAGATACTAAAATAAAATATATTATGTTTAATACTCTTATATAAATTGTATTATTAATATTAGATACTTAACAAAATTCAGAATGTTACATGATCGTTGATGACTTTTCACTTTTACAGCAATAGGGCCATCGTTCATCACAGATAGACAGTCAAATGAATAAGGTTCAGCATATGTACCTTCAGCCAAGTCGATGGACAATGACAGTGTTAAGGATAGCAACAAATGAAATAGTGGAATCGCAGAGCATCAATATACTACTGAAGTTAACCTACAAGACGACAGCCAAACAACAAATTAAAAATCAAATCAACATAATGGTAACTATCCACCGGGAAAGATTATCCATTTAATGTCAACCGCGATCTTATATTTACTCAATTTTCAAATTGATGAACAGATTGTGAAAAAAAAAAAAGGAAATAACTAGCTAACTCAAACTGATATAGTGTTTAGATCTTACTATCACATTTCTTTAAAAACAATAAGAAAA